AATAATTTGTAATTATTTGAATGGTGTACACGAATAGCCAAGTAATTAATGAATTAATAAAATAAGCGTATTAGCACTTAATAATATTTTAATATCGATTGAAATGCAAAATATTAAATTCGAAAAACAAAAAGATATGGACTTATTTAACTTTTTTAAAAAAAATGGTTCGTATTATTATTGCATTGTCAGAGAACGAATCTTTATTCTAATGTTAAAAATTACAATTTATAATGCTACTGTATTATATCTATTAAGCTATTTAGCATTTATTTTATTAATCTACAAATGTGAAATGTTTACATTTTATAGACCAGCAATAAAATGAATTTCGCCAAACATATTTGACACTCTTCAGTTAGAATTTTCGGTCTATAAGTTTTTTTAAAAAAAAAGGTTGTATAATACGGCATCCACCAGTTTTAAAATACAATTATATAACACTACATAATCGAAGTTAAACATATATAAACAGACAAATAACTGTCGACAGTCATACATTTAACATTTCGGTTCTACATTTCCTTTTACATACGAGTTATTTCATTTTTTGAATACTGTATACTGTATAATAAATACATCACATAATATATATTCACTCGTACTTAGTGAATATTTATTCACAGTCTCATTAATTCCATACTTAAAATATCACTATACAAAATAAAAACTTTCCGTACTTACGTATATTTTGTTCCTTTCGTTTGTTTTTTCGTGTGTGGCTTATCTTACATATGTATATTATTACACTTTAGGGTATTAGTAGTTTAAATTAAGCAATTCCATCCATATTTTCACTTATAAACTCTGCATTCTATGCTCGAAGTTCTGAATTTTTATATAATTTCATAACATTTTCCGAATGTTTACTATATTTTCATGTTTTTAAATTTATTTTTAAATATTACCTTAAAACATTCGACTGGAAAATACAAAAAAAAACGAATTTTTTTTTAGTTTATGCACTAGAAATTCGTACTTTATTTTTTCGGCTGAAAATATAGAATAATTTCAAATTGTAATTTCATGACAGCATCGTCCGAGTTGAATTTAAATATTTAATCGAAATTTCGTATGCAAATGGAATTCGTAAATATAGGGGAGATCGGGGCAAAATCGGCATGTTAAGCTTTACTTAAATTTTGTGTAATAAATACTGCTGTAAACTGAAAAAAACCTTTTGCATATTGTCTATTGGAATGTTACCTTACTATACATCTGGTTAAAATCAGTTTGGACATAAAAATAATTAAAATAATTACAACTTTACAAGAAGAGAGAAATTGACGAAGTTGCCCCGGGTATAGGGGCAAGATCGGCAACTTCTCTCTTTTTGTAAAGTTGTAATTATTTTAATTATTTTTATTAAAGTTGCCCCTGGTATAGGGGCAACAGTAATGGGGCAAGATAGGCACGTATATAAAATTATGTTATTAACAATGTATAAGTTGGAATTCACTATTAAAACAAAGAAATACAAATCCAACACCCATTTAATATTATTACAACGAAATGCAAGTTCAAAGACATATATACATGAATAACAAATGCAAACATGTTTTCATTTATCATCTGTTTGATTTTTATCCTTTGCTTCTAATGTGGCTTTATGTTGCCGATCTTACCCCGCTAGTCATGATTTCGAAACATTAAGTACAACCCTGAGAACAGAATGCCAAGCCACGATCTGGCCACGTGAATAAGTTGAAGTTACATCCTTCTAACAGGAAAAGTAACTTTCGTTATCATGGAATTATAACAAAACCTGCCAATTCAATATAAATGGAAAAAAAATATTATATGGAATTGAACGAAAATGAAAATTTGTATGATAATTCAACTATGCTTGTTGGAGAACAATAAAAACACTACTCTCAACAAGCCACCAATGAAACTCAACTGCCTAACCTATAATCAAAGTTTTTTTTTAATTTGTTTTTTTAAAAAAGCGCTTGACAAACTTGCCCCGCATGCCGAAGTTGCCCCGATCTCCCCTAAACTTAATACGATCAGTCGGCATGTTCTAACATTAAACTTCGTATAGGTAATTCTGATTAACGAGATACCTAGTTAATGTTTCGTCATTTCGTCGCTGATAAAATTCGAATTTCGTAAAGAAATATTGTAAACTCATACTTTATTTTTATATTTTCATTTCAAATTTTGAAATTCCGCAGTTTAAAAACATCTGCGTAACTATAAAAATATTTTTAAAATATTTTTCATTAGATAATAGAGATGAAGATTCGGTAAGATAACAAAAATTATGCATCCATTGTCAAGAAAATTACGTTACAATTCATCTATACGATCTTAATTCTAATGAAACTCTAATTTAAACGACATTAAGAAATTCTAATTGCAATTAACTATAAATTGATGTAGAGAGTACGAAGTCAAGTCAACTTACATCAATGCCATTGTGGCTTGACTCGCAAATGAGCTTAATAAACTACTGATTAAGGCTTCGTGCCACGAAACACCTCGCTTCCATACTCGAAAAATAATTACAGTAGTATGTATTAATCAGTATTATTTGAGCAAGCCTCTTATATCGTGTAGCGTGTTCAAGTCCAACTCTGATTCGTACGGTGCTATTTCATAACACCTCAACATATACTTTCATATATATATTCAACACATACACATATCTTTAAATTCAAATGTTTTAAATATTGCAGATTTAATTTTAAAAAATGCCACGAATACACGTGAAATCTACCAAGATGTGTTTTCCTATAGAACGTTTTTTGGAAATATTCCTATTTAGGTGAATAAAACAGAAAACTACACGTGACCTGCCGTGTGAAGTTTTCTATTCTCGGCCAATGGGGGTGCATTTTTAATTATTATTTGTAAGATGTTTTCTCTAATTAAAAAAAAGCTATAAAAGAATTAAACTAAATGTAATCTTTGGCAATTTTAATTACAGAATTTTAAATTAAATACATTGAAGAGGCGGAACGTAAATATGATAAAGTGATGTTTGTGTAATGTGTATTTTATATATTTAAACAAGTAAATCTGTAATCTGTACACATAAATAGATAAAAAAAAAGATGATAAGAAAGAAAAAACTGATTAGACTCTAACAATACATAAAAATAACGATATCTTCTTCAACTTTAAGCTTTATACGTAGAAAAGAAGAGAAAACAATAATTAAAATCTTCGATAAATTCACCTATCCATAGTGTTGTAAATTAACTTTTCATGTGTCTTTTAAAATCACTTTAAAAATGATTATCAACTGTAATAAAAATATTTCTATGATACATCACGAACAATGACGAAATCCTATTCGTTTGTTTACAATTATCCTTTCATAATTCGTGACTTTTTCATTTCTCTAGAAAAAGAAGGCAGCTGTTTTCAGTTTTCAGTAAACTCCGAATTCCCGGGCCTCAACCAAACATATTTTTTGGAAATGCGTTTGAATTACTTTTTCAGGTAATTTCTGAATACATTTTAAATGTAATAAGAAGATAATTATAATATGTTTTTATAGGAACCTTTACGGACCCAAAAAGAATGGATTTCCAAATATGGCAAAGTTCTAGGGTAAGACAGCTTTATTCTTTTTAATTACAATGTATTATAATAAATATTGCAAATTAGTGTAATTTCAGATATTATTTAGACACGACTTCGGTTTTGTTTGTTACGGATATCGAATTATTAAAAAATATTCAAATCAAAGATTTCCATAATTTTTCAGATCGACCGGTGAGGAAAATTTAGTTTAATTAATATAGAATATTACTCTACAGGTTCTGTACAAGTGAAATTTTTTTCTTTTTTACTTTTTGCTGCCTTCAAATCGATTAGCTTATAATTTAAATAGTTTGAAAGGTGCAAAATGGAAGCAAATGAGAAGCGTAGTTACATCTTCACTTACCATAAGCAAGATAAAAATGGTATTTAAAAAAGTATAGTTTTAAAATTGACACTAAAGAATGATTTTCATTGTTATTTATTCTTACGCATTAGATGTCACCCAATATAAACGATGCTATTGAAGTTCTGTTAAACAATTTTGAGAAATTTTGTGAATCGGGAGAAGCCTTTGAATCTTATGCCCTGTATCAAAGGCTGACCATGGATGTAATTGTCAGAACGGCCTTTAGTTTTCAGACTGATATTCAGATAAATCCCCAAAGTTCTTTCTACAACCTGTGTGCTATTTTCGTTCGGCCACCATTGAGGCATTTTATTCTACTCATAGGAAGTGAGTCATTCAGCTATCTAATTTAATTCTTATTTTTAAATTTTCTATGTGCATTTAATCAAAGTTATTCACTGTTTTTTACAATCTTCACTACATTTTTCATGTAAATACTTTGTGTCACATAGACTTAAATATAGTCTAGCACGTGATCTAGAATTTGTAATTCATGACTCAGGTGAATTAAAAAGAATTTTATAAAGGCAATATTTCAAACTATATTTTAAAGTCTATTAAAATATAATGTATTTTAAATAAACTTAAGAAATTTTTGAAAAGAACGACAATAAACGAGTAAATATATTTTTAAATCACTTACATTAATTTATATTTTTGCAATAAAACTGGCAAAAAGTTCATGTGAAGAGAGATTCTTTACTTTATTACATTTCAATATCTGATGCAAAGCACACAAAGCTAACATAAAGAATTTTTTCAGATTTGTAAACAGAGAAGCTACCGAAAATGTTCAATACGAAAATATATTTATTCCGAAAGGAATGTCTATTCAAGTTCCAGTTTACTGGTTACATCGCGATCCGGATAACTGGGAAAATCCCGAAGAATTTCGTCCAGAAAGGTAAAATATAAGATTTAAATATCTATTGTGTTTGGTTTATTAACACACTTTGCACGCTGGTGTTACAGGTTTGCTCCAGAGAATGGAAACAAACACAATCCTCTTTCGTGGCAACCGTTTGGAGTGGGACCCAGAAACTGCGTGGGAATGAGATTCGCAATGATGGAAACCAAATTAGTTTTGGCTCGGCTATTACAAAAATACCGTATATTGCCGTGTGAAAAGACCGACAAGGTAACTGAGTAATTGATTTTTGAATGCCACAGGCAGATTATAATAATAACTTAATTTAATAATTTATATGATGATTAATTTTGTATTTCTTTTAGCATCCCATTCGGTTGAAACCTACGCCGGTTTTCATCAAACCGAAGTATGGAGCTAATGTTAAATTAGAGCGTTGCTGATCATTCTATATTCGCTATATATGTTTATTAGGAAGATTGATGCTGTTAATTTTAGTGATTAAGATCAAAAGGATGGCGAGATAGAGGGATCGTATATGATAACAATTTTACTCGTTATCAGCATTTACAATTGTTTATACAACCCATCCCTACTCTAAAAATTAAGTATTTTCCCATTTTATAATAACTAAAAATATAAAAATTTTTAAAATAAAATATTATAACAGATGGCACCACGCACGCAGTTTTAATTGTTGCCGGAAAAGTTAAGCAATTCATTGCTGGATTTTTAATTATTGATTCTTAACTTTCTTTAGTTAGAGAAACAAACATTGATACAATGTAACACAAATATATTCTATTTAATTCTATTACAAATACAATAAGCTGAAATTTTACTATTCTACATTTTTGAATGCTTAATTACACTAAAATTTGATGATAATTGTTATAATTATTTGAATCGTTAACTACGCTATAAATCATCCATAAATAAATTAAATATAAAATTCTATAATAATTCTAATGAACAATAAAAAGAAAAAAATCACATCCAATTCATACAATCAAGTAAATACGAAAAATAACACGTGTCCATTATTCAAATATAATTCTTTTTAAATAATGTTCAACTATAAAATTTTTTGTATTCTCTTAATTAATCATGTGTAATTCTTTAATTTATTTCAAAATCTTGTTTTATTATATCAAAAAGTGACTTTTTTGTGCATCGTTCTTGGATGCTTCTCAAATTCAACAGACTGGAGTATATCGAATACAGAGAATTGGCCATCTGCAAAGAAACAAATTGCAAATATTTTACAGCAGTAATTCCAAAATACTAAAGTACTTTAAATGTAACAAATAAATAAATAATTTTTCTCTTCCTTTCGTTAAACATATTACACTCTTCAAATACAAACTGGACGTCAAATTGGGATAAAAAAAAAGTAATCATTTGAGAATTGAATCGATAAAATATTTAATTCTTAATATACTTTTGGAAATTTCAGATATTTTCTTCGTTTATTACTTAGAAACTGGAATTTTAAATAATATTTTCGTGTTTTATGAATAAAAATGGGAATTTGTATTGAGTTTACAAGTGAAGAGAGGTGAACTTTTCAAAAGTTCAGATAAAACAATAACAAAAAAAACCTATTAAAAATTCTAAAAATTTAAATCATATATGACTGAATTTTGCTTCTCATAAGAAATAAATATTTTAATAAAACATTTATAAATAATTTTCATACATTATTAGACTATCTGTATAGCCTACACAATTAACTTTGTATAGTAAAGTATAGAATAAATGTAAACAACTTATATACTGTATTCTTTATATAATTTAATCGACGTCTACATTTCTATAAACACGAAAATCTGTCGAAGGTTTTACGCTAGTTAAAAAGTAAAAACTAATAGAAAAACGTAACTTATGAGGAAATATGGGAAGTGAATTAATACGTAAGAAATTTTATGAAGTTAAATTTATCAATTTAGCTAACTTTATTGCATTCCCTCTGTATGCAACTATGTAATATGGTACAATAAGAGATTTTTAAGCATATTAAAAATTACATAAATGCGTTATAAATATTCTGATTGGTCGTATAAGTTTTTTTATTTAAGCTCAGTATCTGTCTTTGATTAGCAAACTTACAATTATCGGTTTGTCACGATGTTACACTAATGATAAAAAAAAATATTATTTATAGTTTATTCTTTTATAGAATAAATGTAGTAAACAAGCAAATGAAATATACTCTGATATAAACTATTGTGAAAGAAAATACAATAATTTCTTATAGCTTATTGGAGAGATTGAAGGGATCAGAAGTAATGGTTATGTAATTAATTACTGTTATGCAACGACACTGTAAAATGACTTGCATTTAAAAATTCGACTTCTTACCTTGATGGGAAATTTCTTTGTTATGTTGAAGAAGTCTTCCATTGAAATCGATAAAGAAGCTTTCCCGAATCTCTTCATAAAATTCAAAACCTGTTGAAGGAAATCACTTACATAAATTAATACTAGGTTTATTTATCATAAAAATGAATCTACCGATTTACGTCTAATAATTTTATGTTATAGCATTTGCATAAAATACAGTACTTACTTTCAGCTTTTCTTCAAGCTCCAAACGACAATTTGCAAATTTTCGAATGTCTTGGAAGCCGTTCTGCATCTGAAACGATAAGTATTAATTTATTTCAAGATACGCAGTTATATAATCAATGACAAAAACTTACTGCAGCAACGAATCCAGACAATAAAAATGCGACTATAAGGCAAGCTCCACCTAAAACTGCAGTATTAAACAAGAATAATAAAGTCGCGATTGTATGCATTTTTATGAATAATAAATTATAGATAAATAAACAAGTCAGGAACATCAGAACAAAATAATTTACAAGAAAAGTAACGCCATAGACTTTGTTGGTGTGATTAATAAATAACCACAGTTGGTCGTGACAAAGGATTAGCGATTCTATTTGATAAAACAAATTTCTTCCGTTCTTATTAATTAATAGAAGTTCTTTGGATAAACTTAAAAATCCAGTTTTAATTATCGTAACAACAAAGATAAAAATATGTACCATACTTTGTTGTCCAGCAGATAAATATGTTATAGCCAACCCCGTTGTTACATTACACAAAATGGCTTCATAGTATGAGTTATATCCCGCTTCGAAAGCGAAATAAAAAAACAAAGTAATTAGAATTCGATTTGCTACGATAGAACAAGAAATTGCAAAAATTGCAGACATGCAATGCATTTTTAATCCATCATTCAAACGTTCTCTATCATAATTCGTAATATTTCTTAGTTTAATTCTTGTACTTATCTTTTTTCTTTTCATCGAACTATTCATTAACGTATACATCAGTATGTAAAGAGTAATGGCTAATTTCAGAATAGTTGTGTCTACCCCAATTATCTTGAAAACTGCAGAACACGGAACATATTCGTCCATTCCTGGAAAATTAAGTAGAACGAATACAGATAAATAAAGATAGGAAATGTATTCTACTAAATCGAAATAAAAGGCTTTCAGGAACTTGGTCAGAAGATTTCTTCTAGTGGAACATTGGCAGTTGCATTGGGAGAAAGGATCCACACCAAACACTAAGCTTATGGATAGCAACGGTCGAAGATAACATCTCAAACACAGTTCAATCTCTTCTTCCATGTTTGTTCTTGCCGAAATTAAACAATAATCCCAATTATTTAAATTTGATGTGAATATAAATGAACTTCTTCGGGTATTTTAAATGATAATTTTCTTTCAAAATTAAAATATGTTAATGCTAGTTTCTGCGTTATAGCATGAATAGATCGTGATTCTCTCGAGTACTACTAAATCGTTTATACTTTTAAGAGTATGGACACAGCCCACAATGTTTATATAATTCTATATATAATTATGTATTATATAATTCAGGATATTTATAAATTTATTAGAAATCTTTCGAGGTCCAATGTAAACGGATAGAATGAGTTGAATCCCATTATTGATAATGAAATTCAGAACTAATGAGATTTTATTGGCAATAGGAAAATTTATTTGATAACTGCACAGCTTGAAATCAATGTGGACGAAAATAGATTATTAGACAAATAGTTCCATTTGTATGAGACGAATCAGAGGCAAAGAACTTACACTAAGTATCCTTGTGAACTTACAACAAGGATACTTAGTGTAAGTTCTTTATCTCCGATAAAAGACGTATAAAGAGAAAAAAAAACGAAATCAGCAATTTAAAATTTTTAGTCTTATTGTTTTTAAAGCATGTTTTTAAGCTAAAACCAATAAATACCTTTTAATAAATGGAAAAATCTAGCAACGAATAGTGTAACTTTCCTGGCCGTTATTAGATTTGATTTAAAAAATAACTTTTATATTATTATAAATAAATAAATAAAATTGTGTGTTGCTCCATCTGTTATCACATTTTGTTATAAAAACTTTATATATTTTTAATTGTTATTAAATAGAAAAATGCTTAATTTTGGTAGATAATACTCAATAGAACATGTCACTAGTCACTTTAATGGCGGCTGTGCTTAACGTTCTTATGTTTCATTATTTTTCAAACGTTGTTTTGGCGATTTTTTCGCAAACAATAAGTTTTTGTTTATCATCTCACTATAAACTTTTTTCGCGACATTTACATTTTCACGAAAGGCTGTGAAATTCAAATTTAGTTAGCCTTAGTGTAGTCGAAGCCAGAAATTCTTTTAATAATTTTAAAGAACAATAGAAGAAAAATTTCATTTATTCAAGAAGGAAAGACATACTGATAAGTTTGAATTCACATAACAAATTATACTGTATATACAATAATTATCTGACAGAAACAATTTATTTTTTACTGTGAGACCTGAAAGGCCCCTGGGTCTAATTTAATAATTTTTATTAATAATGTTAAAATATTGTCCCCAAATATTACTTCGTTTGGGTGAGAAAAATGACGTTTTAGAGTGGGAAAAATAGATAACAGATGTTACTTCCTTTCACAGAAGTTAGAACATCCTCTGTTTTTCGCTTATCTGTGAAAACTCTCGTTTTGATGGGAAATGTTTAACCCTCACATATCCCCCTTTCCATCCGTTCTCACGGAGGAATCTATGCATGATGATTGGTCGCCGATCGTGACATATAGAGGAAATTTGTCCGAATTCTGGGAGTTCAGCGACAGATCTGGAAGCGTCCAAACTCCACACATTTTCCTCCTGATGACCAACGCCCTTAGACGAGTCACATAAAAGAATTCCCGAGTTAGCACTTAGAAATTTTACTTTGATTTTGTGCACATATCGATCTCCCAGGGAAAGAAGTAAATGAACTTTATTCTCCAAAGTGTCCCTTGCCTACAGAGAAGAAGACGAACGACAACTAGAACAGGTTGTATGTTTTATAACGATTTTGTGAGCTCTCTCTCTCGATCGCGTATCGGGTATAGTATAAGTCCATGCCTATACCGTGTATCTTAATTGTCGTATTTT